TTTTTTTTTTTTTTTCATATAGTTAGTTATATTTATTAACTCGCTAATTTTAGTTAATATGTCATTTTTCTGTTGTAACAAATTAGTCCTTTGCTGATATTTCCGTAATTTTAGTTAATATGTCATTTGAGTGAATCTGAGGCAATTTCCATAATTAACCTGACATTTCCGTTTATATCAACAACAAATAGGGAATCGGAAGTAAAAAGGAAGTGAAAGTGTGCTTTATTCAAATTGATGGGTCATGTGTTAATATGTCTACCGGAATATTTGACCTCGGTCTTATTTTCATGATCCCTTTCATCAGAAGCGTAGTCAGAAGAAAATTTCACTTGGGGCTGCATATTATGCAGCTATTATTCGAACCGAGTTGTCCGTTAACACACTTTGGCTCGACTTGTTTACATTTAAACGAGTCAGACTCAAATAGCTAATCGGGCTTATCGATCAAACTAATCGAGTCGAACATGTTTGCGATCTACCCAACTAGAGTTTTTTTCTATGTTTTAAAGTTCACTAAATGAGTCGAGTTTATACGACTTGAATTCGAGCTCACATTTTTGTTTGTATATAAAGCGAGTTGAGCAATGCCCACTACTTGTTTATTAAATAACCATGAGTTCGAACATGAAGTACTCAACTCGAATAATCTAGATAGATGCATGTATAAAAAAGCCAAATTATGAAAATAATTTTATATATTTAATATAAGTTACATTAATCGATAATAATAATATTATAGTAAAATAAAATATTGTATTTGTAAATAAAAATATCAATTATTATACTTTCTATTTGTCTTTTATATAATGATAATGATCTTCCTTTAACCAAAACATGTGAATTGTTAACTACTGAGAGTGTGATAGTCTGTTAGTCTTGCACTAATACATGATATTTCATATACTCAAATATCATATATTTAAAAAATTATTAATCATGAAATAAATTGTAAAATCCATAAATTAATTACATACTAAATATTCTAATGGGTTTCTAACACATTCAAATATTATCTTGAATACAAATAATAATAAAAAAAAACTTAATTTAACCAAATCACACACACACACACACACACACATAAAAACAAGACCAAAAATGATATAATGAGCAAAAAGAGAAAAGTGGAAAGAATTTTATATTATGTTAAAGTATATGATTCATTGATTTAGTCTAAAATAAATATTTATTAATTGAGCCAGTATAAGATTAATACTGACTAATCTAATATAAGATGGACTAAAATAATGTTTACTAACATAAATTGAACATAAACGAAATATGATGACTGGACTGGAGCTCACCCAGCTTTTGGGTGGCTCCGCCCCTGACTCTCATTATAAATGCTACAGTCCCGACGAAACCATTCCATCGGGTTTGTAACTGTTAGTTTCTCATGTAACCGTCGGGATACTTGATCTAACGGTTACAAACTCCGACGGAATGGTTCCATAACGGGACCGTAAATTTAGATGTTTAATTTAGTCTCAATTTAAAAATTACCAGATATCTGATATACTATAATTAATTAATAGGTAATTAATTCCTTTTTGATTAATTATTTTTGTGATAGTGTATAATTGCAGGTGGTGTGAAAGTACAGTTGTGTGGAGTAGCTCAGTACGCCAATCTTGTGGGCATCACCATTGGATACACAATAACAGCCTCCATCAGTATAGTGTGAGTAATTAAACACACTTTCTACTTTCTTAATTATTAATGATTTTATTCTTTTTTTTTTTGCATTAATTAAAAATTATAATTAATATAATAAAATTGATATATATTGGTAACTCAGTGCTGTGAAGAGGTCAAACTGTTTCCATAAATACGGTCACGAAGCAGCGTGCAAGGTGTCAAACTACCCGTATATGGGGATATTTGCGGGAATTCAGATCATTTTAAGCCAAATACCGAATTTTCACGAGCTCTCATGGCTGTCGATAGTGGCGGCAGTCATGTCTTTCACTTACGCAACCATCGGCCTTGGCCTCTCCATAGCCATGGCTGCAGGTATATATATATGGAAAATTCTACGGTTTCTTGACGGTACTATCCCGTCCGGTGTTTAACCGTTAGATCGTCTATTTTATCTAACTACACGTCAATCCAACGATTAAAACACCCGATTGTACCATAACGAGAGACCGTACTATTTTCCTATATATATTAATTTTTACCAAATATGACTTAGTATTTAATTTTAATTATTTAATTGTTTTACCAAATAATTTTATATTAATTCAGTATATTTTATTTTTCTATATATATGTTGTCTAGTAATTTTTTTTTTTTTTTTTGGTGGTTAATTATGAAAATAAAAATAATGAAAAATTGAAGGCGGTGGGCGTGCGAGGACAAGCCTAACGGGGACGACGGTTGGGGTGGACGTGTCCGCAGCGGATAAAGTCTGGAGAAGCTTCCAAGCCATTGGAAATATTGCCTTTGCCTATGCTTACTCGACCGTCCTCATTGAAATTCAGGCAATTTCACTTTAACTTATCTTCACAATTATTCTCAATCACATGGATAATTTAATATTTACATGTAGTTAATTTGTCACGCTATTCATTGATTTACATTTGTTCTTAAGCATATGTTGAGATTCTATGGACAGTTGCGGAATCATTTTGCGGGATTTGTAACCGTTAGATCAAATATCTACGACAGTTACATAATGATCCGACGATTACGAATCTCGATGAAATGATTTCGTAATGAGACTATAGCATTTTCCTAAAAAATATAATTCCACAAAATTAAATGATAAACTTTACATGTAAAATTTCCGTCGATGGTGGACCTATTTCGAAACGTTCCATAGAAGCCAAAGTTACTTTAGATGGCCTTTTTTCCATTTTCTCTTAAAAGAATGATTCCATGTTCCAATACTAGGAATAATTCAATAGTTGTGACTATATTGTTAACAGGACACATTAAAGTCTCACCCACCGGAGAACAAAGTGATGAAAAGGGCTTCCTTTGTGGGAGTAACAACAACGACCATATTCTACGTCCTCTGTGGCTGTATAGGTTACGCTGCTTTCGGAAACGACGCGCCGGGGAATTTCCTCACCGGCTTCGGATTTTACGAGCCCTTTTGGTTGATTGACTTTGCCAACGTTTGCATTGCTTTCCATCTAATTGGTGCTTACCAGGTATATATAGTGTCATCATGCGAAAGACTACAATCTCGTTTTTTTTTTTGTTTTTTTTTTTCAAAACGAGAGATATTATTATAAATCAAAATGCACAAATATGCGAATACAAGCAGCCCCTAGCTAAGTGGAACAACCAACAGTTGAAAAGTGGGAAAACAGATCAGAAGACCGCCTAGAATCTCGATTAGCAACGCTAGAAAAGAAAAACTGGCGACTAATTAACCGACACCAGAAACACCTAACACAAACAAAAACTAAACGACTAAAAAGCTCCCAAGAGGAGAATACTCGGGTGCGGGTCCCAACATGATAATAAATTTACACCCGGGCTCACTGAGACCAAATGGTCCAAACAAAAAAATACAAGACAAAAAACAACACTAACACAGACTCAAACAAACGAAACACTGGCAAAGAGCCCAGCTGCCCATACAAAACACAAAACAAAGACTACAAAGAACATAATAACAAAATAACCAACAACCCTTCCCTGGCAAACTAGCAGACCCAATTAGCAGTGAACGATCGACACAAGAAGGAGTCCCGACTCGAGAAACCACTACCGAAACTGTGCAACTGCCTATACAGTAGTCGCAACCGAGCCCCTAACCATTCCCTGCATCGACTCGTCTCCAACCGAGAGAAAACCAAACTAACCCCCACCAGCCCCACTGGAACTTGCCTAACACCACTAGTTGGGCCCACGAAGACCAGGACCCCGAACCCCCGATGCCTAACACCACTAGCCAAACGGGGGAGGGGGTAGGTGATATGGCGCCTCCACCCCGTCCGCCGCAGCAGCCAGGGCCTCTCCCATCGACAGACCACACACCACCGAATATCACTACAAACCCAGCGACCAACAACCAGCCCTCACCGGACCTCCGTCGGAAAACAAAACTACCGAAGGGGAAGCCAATCGAAGACAAAATGAGAGAAGAGAGGGCTTACCACCGGCCATGGAAGGTCCGCCATCGACCGGGAAGCGAGGCATCCATCGTAGACCTGAATCGGACCAAAGGGCGACACCTTTAAGCTCTGCTCCGTCGTCGACTGAACGCCAGAACGCAGCGAATTCGGGGTGCACTGAGTCCATAACGGGAAGAGTGGTTTGGGGCGACATGCTCTGTCGTCGACTGAATGCCAGAACGCAGCAAATTCGGGGTGCACTAAGTCCATAACTGGAAGAGCGGTTAGGGGGGACCGCAGGCCGAGCTCCACTGCCACCAAGGAAGGCAAATCGATGGCAAGCGGCGATTAGGGTTTTGGGAACTTTATCGCATAGAGGAACGAGAGAGAAGGAGCTTGGCTACATTATTATTATTATTATTATTATTATTATTATTATTATTATTATTATTATTATTATTATTATTATTATTATTATTATTATTATTATTATTATTATTATTATTATTATTGTTATTGTTATTATTATTATTTCTTCACTTATATTGTCTAATAATAATAAAATAAAACAATTGGTCATAGATTTTCGCACAGCCGCTATTCGGGTTCGTGGAGAGCTGGTGCGCCCGAAAATGGCCCGATAGCAAATTCATCACGGCCGAGCACTCGTTGCTAAACGGGTCGTACAACATCAACTTCTTCCGGCTCGTTTGGCGTACGGTCTACGTTTTGATAACTTCCGTGATCGCCATGGTTTTCCCATTTTTCAACGACTTCTTGGGGCTGATTGGGGCTGCCTCGTTTTACCCATTGACCGTTTACTTCCCGATCGAGATGCACATTGCGCAGGCCAAAATACCCAAATACTCCTTCACCTGGATTTGGCTGAAGGTGTTGAGTTGGGCATGTTTGATTGTGTCGCTTGTGGCTGCAATTGGATCCATACAAGGACTTGCACAAGATGTCAAGAAATACAAGCCTTTCAAAACTCAGTAGTAGCTTGCTTAATTCATGCCTGATTTACTTTTTCAAACTGCTTTTTTTTTTTT